TTTTCCTCGATTTTCTCGAATTTAAAGCGCTTCGAGCTCCAAAAAACTATATCACGTTTCATGTCTACCTCAGGGCTATCTGTGGACGAAAAGAGAGAAAAATCGATTTTTCGACTTCTGCCGCCAAATGCAAATTTTGTTTGGTTTTTGGTGGCATTTGTTCTTAACGTTTCCTTCTTTGTTATTTCTATAGGGAAGGGTCCTCCTGTTGAATCGTACACGGTTTGATTTCATTCTGGTGACTCACAAGAAAGTGGTGAGTGCAAATTAAAGCATCACGCAAATTGTTAATAGTCGCTCTTTTTGACTTCTGCCGTGCTATGTCTGCTAATTAGAAAAATTCACTCTTAAGTACATTATTAGTCTTCCAACGGTGATACCAAGTGATCTTTCATGTGATTTAATTATTCGCGTGACTCTGACTGTTAACGCTCACAACCTGAAGAAAATCAGTGACACGATTTGTCAAATCTCTGCCAGCGTAAATTTAACGTATGAAACAATTGAACGGAACGATGAATGTAATTTACATTTCGCGCGTCTTGTCATAGAAGGATTGGCTTGTTCTGAAGGCAACGGAAGAGCAACTGCTTTTGTTGTCGGTGTATTGCATTCTTCCTGATTCTTTAATTTTAAATTTGAAAACTTGAAAGACGTGAATTTACTATATGCCTACGAACGCAGGCATATTTCCGGTTGTCACTTGAAACACGTCTGCGTTTGCAGGCTGATTTACAATTTGTCGGTGTTCATTTCACAACGTCCTTTGCACAGTTTGTTTTATTTCATTCCATTTCAGTCTTTCCATGGTAACATGCATCAGTTTACAGAACAACAAACGTTTTCTCTCTATGAAAAAGCAACCGATTCAATTTCTAATTAATCATTACTTTATGATTTTAGAAATGTCGTGGCCATTGCAATCAAGCAATATAATTATTATTTAAACTGGTCAAGATAAAAGCAAGACAAATTAAACAAGCATATAGCTGAAGCCGTACTTACCACTAACTTTCTTTGTAAAGTGAAACTACGAAAACCGCTTGCGGGGTTTTCGACATTTCGAGAAAACACTGATTATCATAATTTATCATGAATAAAAGATGTATTTGGACGTTTCTGGAGTGTCAAAACATAAGCTTGGCGGGATGGGAGATAACCTGAAAATCTAGGCGGGATGTGGAATGCGGGATGCGGGATTCGGGATAAATATATCCTGGCCTGAGCAGCATGTAATCATTTCAACCAGAAAATGGGGAATAACTTTGAAATTGAGTGACGGGATGCGGAATGAAAAACAGCAAATCACGCTTACTCAGTCACTGGAAAAATTAATTTACCTTTTGGGAGTGTTTGAAAACACTGATGAGTTAAAACGCATTACGATCACACTAGCGTCATTAACTACAACTGGCTTTGATTAGTCTTTAATTACATGACGTCAGAGTTAAAAGTAACTGTGATTGCGGTCGACGTTACGGTTACAAATTCTCCCGGGTTCAGTTTGTGTGATTATTCCAGGGTACCATAAATCAGATAATTAACATTTGAGAAATAAAAAACATGTACCGTGTTTCTATCGAGTTATAGAAACACGAGTGGAAGTTTGGGAGAACAAGAAATGCTGT